GATAACGTCATCATCGGTACATAACTCTCTTAAACCATTTGTTAGATCCTTATTTGGTTCAAGGTAGTAGTACATTATAGCAGCGTTACGATGTCCCATTCTCCCCACCATTTTATTTAGTTCAATGATTAACATTCTTTCGGCATTACAAACATCTACATAGTCCACCTCTCCATTAGCATACCAGACATACTGTTCCCACATAATTCTACCCCCATGATGCATCCTAATAGTAAACCATTCAGAATCGGTCTCTACAATAGCAATTAGGATAAAATAGTCAACAAAAAACAAACAGAGGCTGACAAATGAAATACTGAATTGGTTAGTATTCGGCAAAAAAAAAAAAGATCCTAAACAAATAAAGTGTCCCTTTTCAGCCATTAAAATACATCACTTTCAAAATAACCTCCTTTGTCCGACATTATCAATTTACAACAAACAAAGTAGGACCACAAACTGGACCACTTAGCCTCCCAACATCACCATTACCCAAACATATACACAAATAAGTCCCATTACACATGCATATACTAAACAAATAAGTTCCAGTACACATTGCCCAAACATATAAACAAATATTAAACCCAAAAGGGTTAGTAAACAACAATTTCAATTACCGTAAACAAGGTACGGATCAAAGTAGTCATCCTTCCTCCTTATTCGCCACTCCATTTCTGCCTTTACAACCCCTCCCACGCCGGCAATTACCACTTTTGCTTCAGCGTCCGAATTGAACACTCTGATTTAAGTCGCACTAGGGTTTTACAGCAAAGGGGGTGAAATTGTTGGAGGGAAAATGGTTGGTGAAACTGTTTTTACTCTGTCTTGGCCAAGAGACTATAGTGCCCTTCATATTTGTGCGTGCATCTCACGAGATGAAGCTTCCCATCATAGTTAACTGCTGGATTTGACAGAAGGGCCACGAATATGCCATTTTGTTAGATCGAGGGCCAAAATCGTTTCTTTAATTGTTGGAGGGCCAAAACTTTACCTGAGTAAGAGTTAGAGGGCCATTGGGACTCTTTTCCCATTGGAAAATAAGCAGAGTCACCCTCACGGCTTTAAATCAGCAATTTCAGCATATTTTCTCTCAAAGTTTTCATTCAAACTTCCAAGTTATCAACCAAATCCAACATGCAATCATATGAACATTGGAGTGAGGGCATGCAGCTTTGAAACTAACAAAAATTTTTAAGAAATTTCACCAAGGCAAACTAGCATACAGCCATGAGTACAGCATACACAAAGTACATAACATAGTCTTCCAGCCAATTTCCACCAAAATACCCATTCAAAACCAAAGAATGCATCATCGGTTAAGCTGGAAATTTTCCAGCAGCTATGCAGTCTTCCAAATAAGAATTCCAGCCACAAAGGTTAAGGTTTTCACCGTAAAACTTCACATGCATCAGCCTATAAATGTTACACAGGCCTAAAACATGAATTCCGATCCAGTTACAATCTACCAAAGTTTTCAAAGAACAAGACCAAAGTTGCAGCGTTTCTTTCTCCAAATTTGCTGTCTTGGTATTCTAGTTTTGGTGTTACTTTAGAAGTTCATCTTTTCTTGCTTTTAACACTCCAAATCTCATGTGCATGATCAGATTAAGACGACGGATGTTGCTAAAAATAAATCTTAACTAGGTTCAAACAAAACCTCTTAACAAACCTATAACAAGAACTCCAGCCAACAGTTCATCATAATCTCATCTTAACAGGCCTTATTTGACAGTGTAAATTGCGTGCATGTCAAGATATGTGTCCAGAAAAAGTATATAAGACATGCACTAGAAGACACAACTGGAAAATTACTGATTAGCTCATCAAGTATCACATAACAGCTTCAAACGAACATTTCCAGCTTTGACAACCTTTGTTTTCCAGAAAGTTTTCTTTTTTTACTTGGTTCTAACTCAATCTAAAAGACTACTAGCTAAACGTAAAAGAAATGGAAGAGGAAGATAGTAGTTTACCTCTGGTTCTTATGGCTTTAAGTTAGGAAAATAAAATTCTGATTTCTCTCTCCAATTCTTAGCTCGATAGACTGCATTCCTTCTTGCTTTGTGGCTGGTTCTCACGGTTGAAGGAGGCCAAAAATGAGTTCCTGGTTGTTGTTTTTGTTTCTCTCTCTCTCTTTTTTTTAGGTCTTTCCCTCCTTTTTCCTCTTAATGTCTCTCGGGTGGCTGAACTAAGGAAAAGAGCTTGTACTTATTGCCTCTTGACCGATCAAAACTACACTTGCATGTTACTTGGCTAGCTAATGAGGACAAGTGCCTCCACATTGCACGTTGTCTTGTTTACTGTTGTTTGTTGTTTTTTTTTTTTTTACAACAACAAATTCTAACTAAAACTAATGTTTAATGGTATAAGTGATACAATTTCCTAAGGTATTACCGGTTTATTTGTTAATGAATAGAAGTAATTAAAAATGTAAATCAATAATAAAAGAAAATGAAATATGCATTAAATTTTAAATAGGACATGAAAATTTTGGGGCTCTCACAGAGTCCGGCCGATTGACCTATATATGTAATGAAACTAATCGATAGTCATAAAACTTATTGATCACCTACCTAGAAGGGATTTAACTTCTAGGTTGAGTACTCAAAAACCAGTCATTGCATGTACTTGTTATGAGCCAATATGAAATGATTTATGACTATACGACTTTCATGTATGGTTATATCTATAAGATGTTTACAAGTTGTTGTGTCACTCATTATTATTAACTGTCTTAAGAAAAATGTATTTTCAATAATTATATATGTGAATTGTGTGCAAATAATTTGATATATATATATATATGTATGTATGTATATGTAAGCTATAGTTGCATGGTCCAATAGAAGGGTAGACGCAACCTATTGAGCGATTTATTGTTTAACCCATTTTTTACCACTTTTGCAGATTTTGAAGAGTATGAGTTGGTTTACATTGAAAACCCTAAGGATGATTTTTATTAGCCCTAAGTCGACAGAAATTAGCAATCTAGCTTCTTTTGACTATTAGTCTTATTTAATGTTTTCCACGTTGTTTCGTCTAGAAAATAAATGTATGAATTTATTACATATACCTCCCATTTGAGATTTATACTGCACTATATTTAGTTATTCTATTCAGCACTTTCTAAGTTTTATTCTAATTCAATGTGATCTTGCATTCTTGAGCGGGACTTGAGGATATGGCGGATGTCGCGTAATTGGCACGTGCGGGCTAGGGATGTGACACCTTTCCTACTGAAGCAAAAAAATTTTAAAAAAATATGGCAGTTTGCTCTAAATTTATCTTCAAATCATACTTACAGTATTTTTTTTTTACGAGCAGTTCATGAATTTTACATTTATTCATGATATTTTGACATACTTGTTTTAGTCGTTTGAGGTGAAAATGTAAGGAAAGCTAAGTTTTGGTATGAAAATGGTGCATTTTTTATATGCACAGGACCAAATTCATTGTTTTAAAAACTAGGAGGCTGGTAAACCGTGCTACGCGTGGTTTTATGCTTATTATAGTGTCCTTGATTATGTGCGATTATGTTAATATTTTGTTATTAAATAGTAAGGAAATATTTTGAAGATTAATTAACATGAAGATCAATATTTTTTTTAATATATGAGATTGGGCACTATTTTTTGTATTTGTATATATTTGTGTTGATTCAGTGTATTGCATAGAACGCTATAGTAATTGTGACAGATTGGTTTTTCTACTGATAGGAGTTCCAATTGTGAGAATTATTAGCCGATACATTAGGCAAATTTATTTATAGAATATTGGTTAATTGCTGTTGTGAAAAGAAAGGGCTATACAAATTAGTCTTTTGTGGTTGATTATTTACTTTATCATACGAGGATATTTGCGTATTATAGATTGCTGAAAAAATTTCTTCTGTTGAATTTTCCTTAGTGGTACTATTTTCAAATTTTCTTCAATATGTGTTTAAAAGAAGCATGAAAGGAGCAAAGAATTCTGTGTTTAATAAAATTGTCTGGAAAAAAATGATTCCTGTATTGTCCATATAACTGTTTTGGCAGAAAAGCCATATGAAAATAATTTCAGCAAGTGACCCGTGGCGGACTGGAAAAGGAGGTGGATTTGGACGTCAACAAATGTGACATTTTTGTGAGTTTAAGTTGAAAGACCATCAGTAATGGCTGTATTGGCTAAATTCGGTCATAAAAAGAAAAAGGTAAGAAAAGGATTTGTTGTCGATCTTTCTTTAATTTCTGTGGGCAATTGGATTTAAATCTGAATAATAAAGAATTTAATTCAGAAAATATAGTTATAGTCTATAATGTATTTGCAAAAGGAGGCTTATAAAGAGAAGCTTTTTCCACAACGTGGAATTCTTTTGTTATAATATTTGTTTATTCATGTAACTTAATATTAGAGCTTTTTTCTTCATTTCCTCCATCACCTGATTGCGAGTGTTTATTTATTTATTGTGTGAGTGAGAGGGTACGAATCCAAAAGTTCTCGCTTATATTCCTTCTTCCAAAATCATCCGATCCATCACTGCCCCCATGGTGTTTATTCTGTTTAGTGTAGAGTTAGTAGGCAATTGCAGAATTTAAAATTTGATCAAGTTTATGGCCTTAGGCTAGAAGATTGAGACAACTCTAATAATCCGGCAAAGAAAATCCTTCCAAATAACAATGGAAAGGAGCCAAATTAAGCATCCTAATAGTCACTTAAATTCAATTACCATAAACAATTTCAGCATCACCTTTTTATACTTTCTATCATTTGACATTTCAGGAAACTACGTGAGACTTTAAATGGGGGTTGATATACTTGAATTTTCGGAATAATGGTGAGAAAATAGTGATAGATTCGAGAGATTAAATAAATAGTTTAATCATTTTAAAATACATTGAATAGTTGGGAAATGTCTATAATTCTCAAAATGACAATTTTTATAACTACCCTATTTTTCAATTAAAAACTAGGTTTTTTTTTTGCGTTAGGAATGATGTTAATAAATTCAAAGTCAAAAATATGGAACTCTAGCAGAGAATCATTTCTATAATCACACAATCATACAAAAACTATAAATCCATTGATCCATTGATACAAAGCTATAATCCAAGTCACAATCTCAGTTAACTTTCATCATCTTCATGGAATAATTTCTTGAGCAGGGCAGCACCAAAATTTACTGACCCATAAAATGGCAAGCTTGTAGCTTTTCCTCCTATTCCTTGACATGCTTACCTATGTTGAGGATACATAGAGCTTTAACTTTTTCATGGGGCAGCAACTGGAGTCATTTCTGTTGCTTGAGATGGATTCTTCTGATCACTTTTCTCTTCCTTCGATCTGTTTTTCTTAATGTCGCCATAGAAATACGAAATAAATCCCCAGAGAGAAAGGAAAAGAGCAACACCCTTTTCTGCTTGGAATTTTTCGTTGAAGAAAATGACAGCTAAGAGTTCTGTGACTGGAAGCGAAACGGCTATTATAATGCCAGATACCAATGATGAAGCACAAAAGATGACTCCAATGGCACCCAAGAAGAAGCATTGCGAAACAATGGCACCAGAAACAAGCACAACGTAGTATTTCATTTCTCCAAGTTCATATGCTTTTGCCTCCCTAGAAATGGCCTGGAAATTGCTACAGCATTCATATTAGCAAGGTCCGGTTTTAGAAAGAAATTGAATAGGGCTGAGTTCAAATTGACCAACAAAAAAAAAAAAACGCAAAAGCATAAGGGCCAAAACGGTAAGGCTTTGTAACACAAACCGTATCATTTTGGCAAATTTGCTTTTGTAAGCAAAACTGATATTGATGCATATGAAATTCACAAATTAAAAGTTTATCACAATTTGAAGTCAAATAAATACTATTTGTGGTGTAAATATTTTTTTGTATATTATTTGCAGGTTAGTTTCTAGTAGTAATGAACTGTAATTTTCACTGTTTGCGGTTTAATATGTTAATTTTATTCCTCCCATATTACTGGTAATCTTATAAGATAAAAAGAAACAAAAAAGGTACATAGCGAACAATAATTGAGAACAACAAAGAAGAGGAAACAAATATAATAAAAAAGGATAAGAGAATAAGAATACAGAGCAAGCCAAAATATAAATAAACAATAAGCTATAAATTAATATCTTCATAAGACTTTTATGTTTCTGCTTTGTTCAATTGAAGGGTTGTTTTTCCTTTATATACATGCGCCTTTTGATACTAAATTCATTTGCGTTTTTGCATACAAGAAAACTTGGTGAAGATTTCTAACCGATGAATGCAATAATTCCTAATATTTGGAGTACTGACATGTTAAAGATGTACAAATAGACTAAGTGGCAGATCGAGAACACACATAACAACATACACATTTCAAGGACAACACTATTACCCTCTCCAACATTTCTTTACTAACCTTTCTAATGATCAATGGTGTGTACATGTATTCCCCATAAAATGGTTAGTTTGCAAAAACCCGAAAGTGGGCTATAAGAATTAACACTCTTAAATTGCCTTTTTATCACTATGTTTGAAGTGGTTTTCCTTTTGGTTTCCTTTGCATTTCTTTTGGTGTGAAGTGGTTCAAATCGTTTTTTTTTTAAGTGGTTTTTTTTTTTTTTGGTGTCAATTGAGTACAAAATGAGTATAACTGGAGTCTCTATCTCTTGGACTTGAAGAAATCACCTGTTTTATTTTATAGGGGCCAAAAGTAGGAAGGTATTTGATAAAATTAGGGGAAAAGCTTAAACTGAAAGTTTCTCTAATTAATATGTGGAGGCTATCCTTTTTCGATATGCCTATCAATTCAATCATATTCAAGTGTACTTTGACAATGGACTCAAAAAACTAAAAATTATTAGAAAATTGGTTTAATTTCTTTTAGGTGGGTTCCTTGTTTTGTATGGAAGTAATTAGTTTCTTAATTATTTTAGTTACTTAAAATAGTAGTCAAGAAATTTCCTATTTATATAAGTACAGAAATTAGGAGTTATTTCCTATTCTATATAAGTTTAGGAATTAGCAATTATTCCTTATTATTACTCAGGTGTTGGCGAAATAATCTAACTTATAAGTAGGTGTGGATTGGCATTCTACAAAGTGATATACAAAGGGCGATATGTAACCTTATATATGAGTGAGAGAGTGTTCTTGAGAGATGAGAGAAATTATACTAGGATTGAGTTTGAATTCAAGTTATATTCTTGTATGAATTTTATTCTCTCATAATAAAGAACAAGTCTTCTTCTGTGGACGTAGGATTAATGATGAAATCGAATCACGTTAAATTTTGTATGTCGTTTATCTTTTATACTTGTAATTTATTTGTTATTAAATTATTATATACTTGATATTTTAATAGTTACTTATTCTGCGCTTAGATTCAACAAAAATCAGTGCAATCTTGTATTCTATATCAATTTAGAAATGTATACCCTAGGCATTGTTTAGGTGGAGGTTTGTGCTAGTGAAAGTGAGGCCTAGATTTTTTTTTTTCAATTTCTTTTCCTTTGAAGATTCAATAGCCGTTATTGTTGAAATATGTTAGGTACTGATAAACGTAACATCAGATTGTGAAAGTTAAACTTATAGTCAAGCTATTGAGCCCTCTCATGTCTTGATTTAGAATAATTTCTCATAAACATTTAGTTCTCATAATTTTTGTTCCTTCTTTGTGCTTCTTCCATCCCTCTCGTATTGTAATAATAACAATAATAACAACAACAACCCAAAAAGAATAGCATTTAGTACACCTATTAATAAGAGGTGAAATTGATTTAAAATTTGTGGACGGAGTTATTCCAGACGATGCTTACTAAAATATAACACACTATCGCATTTAACAGTACATTATGTGTAAATTATCAGTGAAACACTGTTAATGACACTCTATATCTTCATTTAAAAAAAAAAAAAAAAGAAAGCACATAAAGAAAATAGAGTGACATTAACAAAAAAAAAATGGACTATCAATAATATTTCACTTCTAAGTAAATCTGTACGTGGTGTGAAAAATTGTGTCAGCCAAGTAAATTGTATCCACATTTAAAAACGCCAACTAATGACATATTTAAATTTTAATCTGTAAATTAAATAAAAACAAAAAATAATTTCGAGAGATTGTCACTGATAAATGTCCCATTCCCAGGTCCCAGAATAAGAGTTGTATGGATTCTCGACATCTCAGACGCAGTTTTCCACATTAATTTCACGACACGAGATTTCATAGCGATTGGGTCATACAGATGATATTAAAGACTAAAGAGAGAGAGGCCACTTATTTTTGTGGTGATTAATCTTAATCTTAAACCTAACTCCATTTGCCGTTTCGCTTTTCTGATGTCAAACGGTCTCTGTCTTCAAAGTTGACAATGCAATGATTTAGTACTAAGTACATAACTCACCCTTAATGTTATGCTTATCTCAGAATCTTAAGTTGAAAAGCTAAGGCTGCCTTTGAGTTGCAATTTTGAACAATAATTTGGGGAAAAATTATTTTAAAAATATTCTACATGATAAAACAATAGTTAGAGTGCATCAAAGAATCTTTTAAAAATACTTTTGCAAAATTAACGAGATGGCGAAATATCGGATGAAAAGCAGGTACAGTTGTGTTACGTGTGATTTTATACGATCGCTATATTTGTTACATATGTCGGTGTACATTTATATTATGTGATTATACATGTAAACTCACTTTTTCTCTTTGTCAAGTTCATTTGTGTACAACAAATTTTACAAATTATACAATAGTTTGTGAAAGTTTAGTGTACATCACGTCAAGAAATACAACAACCGGATTCAATTGTACCAAATCACAACTTTACCTGTCCCATGTCTTCTATTTTGATTATGAATATTTATCTGTTTTTCTTTTGTGCTGTGGTATGGTTTTCTAATAAAAGAAATGGCATCCCATTGAAACTTTTTAATTTTCTTTTCCAACATGTTTGGAAAATGGAAATGAACCTAGGAAGGTAAAAATATTTTGTGCTCCAACCGTGCCAAAACTATTTTGACTAAATCAACCCTAATCAAGATACCAATGCCGGCCAAAACGAAGTCAAAGCTGATGCGTTATTTAGCGTGAGGCATGTTTCCTTGTATATATTATTTTGGTACTTCCATCTCTTCTCGTTATTCAAATCTAATATAGCTTTTGTCAATTTACATTTATTTTTCTTGTACTTGCCTAGTGGACAGTTATTAAATATCAAATTTAAACCCAATTTTGTATATAACTTAAGTTTCATAATAATTTAATAATTGAAAGCTCTCTTAACGGATTCCGATTAAATATCATTAGCTAAACCCAATTTGCATAGGGCTTATCAAATTTTCATAATATGTAGCATCAAATTATAGAAATTTAATTTTCTTCTATTTTCATTTTGGAACTTTTAGAAATTTGAATTTTTTTTCTTTTTTTCATTTCTGCCCTATTTTTAACATTGTAATGACTTTTAAAGTGTGAATCTTATTTTGAAAAGTATAAATTACTTTTTTATCACCCTGTGGTTTGGGTGTTTTATAACATGATCCTCCTAAAATTTAAAAACCTATATTCAACTCTCTAATGATTTGGGTTAAAGTATCATTGTTAGTTTTCTCATTAAAATTACTGGTTAATTGTAAAAAGTCCAAGTTAAACTAATAATTGACAAAATTTACCCTTTCATTACTTCTTTTTTTCCCTCCAAACTTAAAAAAGAAGAAATTAAAATAAACAATAGAGATCTGTAGTCAAAAAAGGATTTGATATTTTCTGTTTCTTATTTATTTGGTTTATATTTTCCTTCCATCCTTTTTGTTTCTTATTTATTTATTTATTTATTATTTCCCTTCCATCTTTTTGTATTTGGAGAAAATTAAGATAATATAGCCCAAAGTATAGGTTTTCAAAATCATCTCTTCTCTTCTACAATAAAAAGAGAGAGAGAGAGAGAGAGAGAGAGAGAGAGAGAAAGAAAAGAAAAAAAGAAAAGAGTAGTGAAAGGGTGAATTTGTTAATTTATTAGATTAACTTTAACTGTTTAATATTGATTATTAATTTTAACGAAAAACTAATTGGAATACTTTAATCCAAATCATGAGAGTTATGTTGTAAAGAAACAAAGCAGAAGGTGGTAAAAGGTAATTTATCCTTTGAAAAATAAAAAACATGATAGAACCAACCAATAATAATTGCAAGCAAAAGTGTCCAATTATACTTTTATAATATCTTCACAGTCCAAGAACAGACAAACCTGAAAGTCCTTGTTTATGAGCATCCCAACGGTGCAGAAAACAGTGGCGAAGAAACACATAATCAGCTGAATTTCCAGCACCAAAGAATACGTAATCGCCTGCTTCGCCTTCATATACATCAGCTCCACCATTGGCAAGATCAACCCGTACAAAGCTGCAGCCGCCAGCGTCATGATGAACCCTAAAACATACAGCTTATTCGACTCTCCCTTCGGCCGATCACTGCCCGTATGCAAGCCCAAAACGCCCGATCCCACTGTCAACAAGATGACGGCATTGACAGAATAAGCTGTAAACTTCTGTTTAACAAGAAGGAAGGCAAAGAAAGCAACGAAAACAAGCTGTGCAGCAATGATGATTGCGGCGGTTGACACCGGAAGCCGTGCAATCCCGTAGGCATACAAGTAGTTGTCTAAGCCGGTGAGGAGGCCGATGACGGCAGTAGCGATGAAAACAGGGTATTTCATTATAATTAACTTGGAGTCTTCGGGCCGTGGATCAGTTTTCTGGCGGTGAAAATAAGAGATTAGGAGGGGAATGAAAATAATAGGCCATGCTGCTGTCTGTATCCAGCTGGGTAGCCATATTCTTTGCCCTCCTTTGACGAAGTATAGACGGGTAAGAAGAGGGGAACCGCAGTTACCTATGGCTAGAATGATACAGTTGATAACAAGCAGGATTTTTCTCATGGTGTTGTTGTTGGCTTGAGCTTGCAGGATCTTTATCTAAAGTTCTTGAGGTTTTTGTTTCTATCGTTTTGGATTTGAAAATGGCAAAGGCTGACAGCAATTAAAATTTTATGTCATTCTTGGCTGGTGACTATTATTTTAAGACACAAAAGTATAAAAAAAAATGGAGAAACATGATACTAATAACAGGATGGAAGAAGTAATTTATAGGTTGATTAGTGATGCAATGGAATCATAAAATAATGAGTGCTTTCTATCTTAGACAAAATCGTTGAAGGATCTTCATCATGGTTTGACTGATCGGCTGTATTTTGTCATTGTGGGTGCCACTTCAGGATATTTTTTCTTGAGAGCAATCATAATTTCATTACGATAGAACTTTTTTTTTCTTTTTTCTTCTCATAAATAAAAGTGTTTGAATTCAGAATCTTCTACTTATAATCCCTTACACCATACCATCCAGTGCGATAGATCACCACGTTTACAAAGCCTTTTGTACACAAAGTGTAGCAGCATTTGCCATGTCATGAGTGGCTGCTATCTCTTGCCTTCTAACTTTGACAAATCCTACATGCCTAAACCAAGATGATAATTGAAGAATGTCCTGGAGGATTGCTCTGATATGGATAGAGGTCTTCTCTAAATCCTGCAACTGATAATAAAGACTTCACAGTCTGTCTTGATCGCAACAGAAGGGGTATTATGTCTTTGCACCCATCAGATTTAGAGCTTCGTATGGCGTGAACTTTAGAACAGCAGATAAGGCCTGGCTTATTTTAAAAATCAAGATTTTTCTTAAATGAAATCGGCAGGAAACTTTTTTTATATACCAAAGTATGCGGAGATGACATTTTTTATTGGTCTCCGGTAGAAACAAGTACCATCTGGTAGGCCGTGGAAAGTTGCAATCATAGGATTAGAAAATCAACGCTCTGACAAAGCCCAAGAAATGTTTAGTTTGTAGGTTTTTTTTTTTGGGTGTCTTAAGGGTACCAAAAAAGATGTGGATCTTGTGTTATTTTCTCTTCAAAAGTGTATTTTTTTTATCTTTTAGTGAAAGTGTTCTTATTCTGGAGTGGGTAGTAATTTTAAAGGTTTGATAATTAGTCCACCGTTTTTTTTTTTTTAATATGCTTATATGGTTTCCTAAGGGCACCATATTAAAAAAGGACCTTGTTTAGTATGGCAATTTCCATCTCTTCCGCAAAGTAAAATGTGAATTTGAAGTGTTGTTAATTTGGACTTTGATTATCCATCAATGATATGGCCATGCAACTATGAGCCCACTACAACAGTAGGTAAAAGTAGTTAAATAAATTAAATCAATCCATATATAGTGATTCTCATTTAAAAAACAAGATTCTGTTAGACTGATTCTGTTTAGCAGTGTTTTTAAAATAGTTTTAGATTTGTTTGGCACCCCTATTTTAGGGGTGTTTTATATTTTGGTAAAACGCCATTTGTGTAAAACTATAAAAACACTCACATATTTTGAAAAACACCAAGAAAATGCATTAAATAGGATATGGGCTGCAAAGGTTGCCATTGGGGGTGGCATGGGAGGGAGTGCAATATTTTCTGAAAAATAGCAATAATAAAATTTTAGATAAACATCCAAAAAAAAAACGTGTTTAAAATGTTTGACAAACATATTTTGTTAAAACTTATCATCAAACACACACTCTAGAATACCATCGACTTGTAGTATCAAAAATGAACAAGAATAAAGTATAACTGAGTGGAAATTTATGCATGACTCAATCTAATAGGCTTTTTCCAATTCACGTCAAAAGGAACGAAGGAGAAAAGTAAGCATCCGCGAGACAGTCAGGAGAACAATTTTGAATTCTAAAGGTCCTTCCCATAACTCCATTGTGTCGTCGTGAATCATTTGCTCTTCTTTTGATTGGTTTATGTTGCTTGTCGTTACAGAAAATATGTCACTTAGTATTACTCCCTCTGTTCCATCAAATTTGTCATGTTTGGGCCCACTTTTGAAAGTGTATAAAGGACCGGATAACTTCGTTGTCTATTGGTGAATTATATGTTTCCTTTGATTGGTTTATGCTGCTTGTCGTATTAGGAAACATGGCATTTAGTATAATTCCCTTCATCCCATAAAATTTATCGTTTTTGAGAGAACGCGTAATTTATGTATAATGATGTTAGTAGTAAAGATAACTTTTACTTTCCTCTTTATATCCTTAGTGGTCGGTTATCTTTTATTTATGTATCGATAATTATGAGAAATAAGTGGTGGGCTATATAAAGGATAAAGATAAAATTTCATTGAAAAGGTAAGTTGACTTTTTTAAGATAACAATTAATTTAGAACAAGAAAAAGTAACAAACATGACAAATTTTACGGATGGAGGGAGGAATGATTTGTAGCATGGGTATATAATACAAAGCACCCACCTCAATTAGATTGATTAATTATGTTTTTGAATGAACAAGATATGTGTATCTGTATATATTAATTTTGCATATATTGACAATGTATATATTATCACTATTAGATGTATGATAACTAATTTCAATTTGAATTTGGAATTCAAAATTTGCACGTATGTCATACATTCAATTGTGATATTGTATACTCTATATGAGTGTATATAAAATTAATTATATACATACATACATACATATACACATATATACACACACACACAAGCTTTTACTCTTTCAGAAGACTCCAACTGGTATGTTCTTGAATTGAAAAGATCAAAGTTTTAGTATGTTCTTGAAGTCCCACCCTCATTTCTACAGTATGATGCGTTTTGTCCAATTACCATGAAGTCCAAGTTATAAAAAAAAATAATAAACAACATCTACCAAATATAGCCCATTCTTAAAAATCCATCCAAATTTTCCCAAAAACCCTAATTCAAAAAGAAAAAAAACGCTGTTCCAGCTAGAACCAGGTAGTCTTACATCTTGAGGATGCTCTTCTTTTTTCTACTGTAAATAGCTTTTCAATTTTTTTTCAACTTTCAAACTCTCGAAATCTTCCGTGGCTGTTCCTTAGTCCGTCAAAGGTTTCAGTAGAATTTTCACCTGAAGAGGATATATATTACCCGAAGTTGAGTATATGGACTAGAGTATCGTAAATGGGTGTGGTGTTACTAGTTCTTCAGATATTTCTCCTATTCTAGAATTTGAATTCTGGAATCCCATCATTTTTTTTTAATTTTATCTCATTATGTTTTTGTCAATCTCACCATGTTACTTAGTTTTTGGAGTTGTTTTCTTATATATATATGTATGTAAAATCACACATAATGTTTGGATCCTAGTTTGAAAATCAGAAGGCGGTCTACTTGTCTGCTCCCTTACGTCTCTAATAACAGGATGGAACGAGTAACGTTATGGTGAACTAGTGAAGCAATGGAATCACAAAATAATGGATGCTTACTATCTTAGCTAGGCAGAATCGTTGAAGGATCTTCATCATAGTTTGAATGAGAGGCTGTATTTTGTCATTGTGGGTGCCACTTCTAGACTTAGAGCTTCATTTGGGGTGAACTTTAGAACTGCAGATAAGGCCTGGCTTATTTTAAAAACCAGATTTTTCTTGATTGGAAATTTGGCAGGAATACTTTATACCAAAGGACGCGGATACAGCATTTATTATTGGTCTGTGGTAGAAAACTTACCATCCGCTAGGACATGGCTAGTTGCAATCATTGGAGTAGAAAATCAACGGTCTACAAAGTTTGAAATGTTTTGTTGAATGGGTTTGTCTGCTGTTATTTCCTCTTTGAACGTGTAATTTTTTTTTTTTTTTTTTTGGTATGAAAGTGTTTCAATTCAGAGGTTCTCGTACATGGAGGGGAGAAGAGATGGCTGAGTTGGATGGTAAAGTAAGAGGGATTATAAGTATGAGCTTTTGGGGTTCAGAAGCTCACACTTAAAAAACAAATTCAGAGGTAGGTCAGTAGCAGAACTAGAAAATTTAGTTTGAGGGAGTGAAATATATATACATATAAAATTTGGAGTCGACGTAAAATTTTTTTGAAAAGTTCCAAGAAACAAATGCTTAATTATATAGGAAATTTTGAAAATCCTCAAACTTTTAAAAGGAAAGAACATGACTTTCTTGAACTTGGAGGGGACAAATGGCCAAATATATATAACAAAAAATTTCAAAATCTTTATAAAGGACAAAGTATGAATTCCTAGAATTTGGGGACAGTAGCCCCCCCCCCCTTTGCCCCCTCTTTTTGCCGCCCTTGGTTTGGTGGTAACTTCAAAGGTTTAATCTATTGATTCTATTCATCTTTTATTATTATTATTTTTTGGGTGTGTGCATATATGGTGTCCTAAGAACACCAAATTATATACAAAAGAAAACCTCATTTTACATGGAAATTTCCATTTCTTTCCTAAAGTAAATGTGAATTTGAGTTTATGTTAATTTGGACGTTGGTTATCCACCCTCAGTCACATTTGAAGTTTTGTTAATTTGGACTTTTGTTATCCATCAGTTCCGTAAGCGGGTAACTGTGAGGGTACCTACTGTTGACTACTACAACAGTACTGTTGGGTTTGATTCCTGACTACTGCTACAAGAGTTGGTAACTGTCGGAATTGAAGATAAATCAATCCATTTTCGTGATCCGCATTTACAAAAAGCAGATTTTGTTTGGATGGTTCTATTTGGTCGTGTTTTTAAATGGTCTGATTAGCACCCCTTCTTTTGTAATGTTTTCGAAAGACAATTTTGGTAAAAATACCATCTAATTTTTTCTTCGTCCTCTCTAGAACTCGTTTAGTCAAAATCTCCTTCATTTCTTCCATAGAAGAGAGACTAGACGACTTTGGCCTTTTCTTATGAGAGGAAGCTCTCTTTACTTTGACTGGTTTATGTTTGTTTGTCGGATTAGGAAGCATGTCACTTAGTATTAATGATTTGTGTGTGTGTGTGTGTATAAAACTATAAATATATATTAAAGAAACTTTTACTCTTTCAGAAGTCACTGATTGGTAGTCACTGATTTCTTATGCTCGTGAATAAACAAGAATTGAAAAGATCAAAGTTTGAGTATGTTCTTGGAGTCCCCGCCATCATTTCAAGTCTTCCACTGTATGATGCGGATTCTTTTTCCGATTGCCATGAAGTCCAAGTTACAGTCAAAAAAGGAAAAATAACATCCGATTATAAATCATGTAAATGCC